TTATTATACCCTGAACCCATTTTCAATGGGAAATCAGGGTATAATGGTTTTGTTGAAATGTATGTAACAGGCAGAAGGAGGCGTGGCAGACCCCACAAAGTATATATATTCTTGATCAGGGCGACGAGCTGAGTTGATTTGGCCCTGTCCGTCTGTCTGTCCGTCTGTCCGTATGTATGAACGCGTCGATTTCAGAAGATATAAGAGCTTGAGACTTCAAATTTTTTTTTAAATGTTCGTAATTACAGCGCGCATATCAAGTTTATCATTAAAAATCGATAACTCATCCCGATCTTTTTTTATCGATAAAAAACCTTATCGAAAACCAGTTGTAAAATTATATCTTCTACACCTTTATTGCTAGAGTCTCCAAATTTTTAAAATATGCCTATATGCAATTTATACAATTTCGGTTTTTGTTAAAATTTACCTTAAATTCACCCCCTCACCTTCATTTTTGTAAAAAGCGTATTTCAAATACTAGAGACTTGTGCTTTGGCAATTACATGCATATCCATGTCATAATCATTATCTGAAAGTTTCATGAAGATCGTACGTCCACAAAAAAGTTATTAAGCAATTAAGTTCTCATAGTAAGCGCTCACTGCCGCCCATGCGTGTTTATGCTTGTGTGTGTATATGTATGTAATTGTTTGTGTATGTGTGTGTGTGTGTGTGTGTATGTGTTTATGTATGTGTGTGTATGTGTATGTATGCCTGTGTGTGTATGTGTTTATGTATGTGTGTGTATGTGTATGTATGCCTGTGTGTGCGTGCATGCGTGCGTGTGTGTGTGTGTGTGTGCGTGTTTCTTGTGTAAGCTGAAAGACGCGAAAAATTATTGAAGTAGCTATTACTCCAAGGGTTCAGGGGATCTCGTAGTCGAGTAGTCTCGACTAGAGCTTTCTTACTTGTTTTTAATTTCGAATTTTGAATTTTTTATTTATTTTTTGAACAGTCAGGTTTTAATCTTTTGATTTTTTTGAATTTTTGCAGATTTTTGATTTGAAATATTTTTCTTTTTGATTTGGAAAAAAATTTTTTTTTTTTTTTTTTTTTTTTTTTTTTTTTGAATAGTCTTTTTTATACTCATTCACGAAAGTGAATCAGTATATTGGTTTTGTGCAATGTCCGTCTAGCTGTCCGTCCGTCTGTCCGTCTGTCCGTCTGTCCGTCCGTCCGTCTGTCCGTCCGTCCGTCTGTCCGTATGAACGCAATCTATTTCGGCGCTATTGAAGCTAGAGACTTGAAATTTGGAACACATACTCGTGTATATCTCCGATTTATAAAGTGTTAAAAATTTCCCGATCCGCCCTCTAGGGGCGTGGCAAATCGGAAAATGCATTTTCCGATATACCAGAAATCATGTTAGTTAAAGAGCTAGAAAGCTGAAATTTGGTATGTAGGTCCGCATCGACAATCCAAGATCACAAGCTATGGCGGATATATCTCCGCCCATTGGGGGCGTGGCGAATCGGATAAAACTGTATCTCCTAAAGTTGTAAACCTAGAATGCTTAAATTTTGCATGTCAGCTAATGTTATGATTCTATAAAGTCTAAAAATAAAATTATAAGTCTACACCCATTGTGGGCGTGGCAAATCGGACCTGAAGATATAGTGATTTTTATGTTCTGCTATTTTTTGGACACTATTGATGCCAGAGATCTCAAATTTTGTATATATACTCGGGCTGATCACCCAAGACCAAAAAGCTTTGTCGGATATATGTCCGCCCACAGGGGGCGTGGCAAACCGCAAAAATGTATATCTCCTAAAGTATAATAGCTAGAAGCTTCAAATTTAGATAGTTGATTTACTGGTAGCCTCATCTATCGATTCCCCAAAAAATAATTTTTACGCCTCTTTAGGGGCGTGGCATATCGAAAAATACCCTGTAGTTTTCACTTTTTTTGAGAGTAAGCATTCAAAGCATTCAAACTTTGCAGTTAGGGTACTGTTATCTCGTTCTAGAAACTGACCAAAAATGAGGTGTCTACGCCCAGTAGGGGCGTGGCAAATCGGAAAAGCCTGTATATTCTACAGTATTAGAGCGAAATTTAACTACTAAATTGTTGATGGGATGTGAATGAGTATTCCGCAGTCGGTAACGCCCGACTGCAACGTTCTTACTGTTTTTTTTTTTTTTTTTTATTTATTTTTTTTTTTTTTTTTTGAATAGTCAGGTCTGCTCGAGGCTGTGCCGTAGACTGACTGACTACATTTGTTTATTTACTTCTATACAGGACCGAAACTGTCACTGTTGTCAAGGCTAATGAGTATAAATGGAAATTTGAATCTTTAGGGAAAAAACCGCGTTTTTCAAGTATTCGTCAAATATGTTCAGTATTTTAAAGATCTACTGACCTACTCGTTCCGGAGACAAATCCAACAAATCAACCATGAAAATTGGTCCAGCAGATCTCGAGTTATAAGTGCTAAGACACTTTTACACAACTCTCTTTTATATATATAGATGTTCTGTAAAAATTATTTTTGATTTTTATCATAAAAGTCAATTTTAATAATTAATTAAAATTTTTTTTTAATTTATCAAAAAATAATAATAATTTTTTAATTTTTTGCTTTTTACGGTCCCTGGAAAATATACATTACGTTCATATCTAAATCACAAGTGTCTAATTATTATCGCAGGGGCTTCAAATTGTTGGCACGAACTCACAGTCGGCTGAAACTAGCCCAACCCTAGGAGATATAATTTTATAACTGACTTTCGAAACGATTTTAATCGATAACGGGATGAGTTAATGATTTTGGAAGATAAATTCGATATGCACGCTATATATACGGATATATTAAAAATAATTTTAAGTCACTAGGTCTTATCACTGACCAAAGAACACATAGATGAGACATGTAGAACAAACTTTTTCACCACCGAAAAAATGTGCATGACTACTCACCTTCGTAGTTGCTCGGCTCCGTCTCTTACGGCTCGAGCAGTGAAAATACAACACTACAAAGTCAGTTCGTTGCGAGCGCTCAAACGAACTGGTCCCATTCTTATATGAAGCAAGGCTATGCGCTATTTGTCCTACTCTCTCTCTCTCACTCTATCTCTCTCTTTGGTCTCTCAAATCACCGAACTCAGCAGCGCACAAAAATTGAATTTTGTTCGCGATGATCCCAGCTCTTTCCCTTTGAAGTGAAGGGTATACCTAATCATAAAAGCGTTTGTCACGCTCATGCAAACAAAACGTAAGCGTTTGTATGGTTATTCGTGAGAAGGGTATGAAAGCGTTGATACTCATGGAAATGCTTTCGCGACGAGTGTGCACACAGACACATGAAACATGAGCATTAGTGGCCTGTGTGCGTAACTCTTGCTGCTTGTAGTAATTTTAAAGCCCAGCATTTGCATTTGGTCGATTTTGGGATATCACTTGTAGAAGCATTTGTATGCCTCTGTCCTTTACATGTGCGTATGTGTACATATGTCTTTGTGTGTATGCATGGGATCTGTGTGCATGCAATCTAAAATTGTGTGAACGATTTAGAGTTCGAAATACGAATTGCAGAATCGCATTTACATACATAGCAATATTGAATTAGCTAACTAAACTAATACTTTTGATATTTGTTTTTTTACTTGCATGATTTTTATGTCATCTTGACCTCTATATGTATGAACATATGCTTATTTTAAAAATTGCATATGAACATATGTATGTATATGCTTTGGAATATTTCGGGTTGCAGACTATAAATATATACTTCAAATGGGACATGAAATACACATGTCATATTAAGTCATAAAGGCCCATTCGACAGTCACTTTACAATGCAAACCATACATAATTTACAAACTATTAAATCGCGAGACAATTATCTTCCCATTCCATACATACATACCCATATGCAAATGTATATACATATACATATGTATATACATGTATGTATGTATGTTTGTGAGCACAAAATCGACCAAATGCAAATGCTGGGCTTTAAAATTACTACAAGCAGCAAGAGTTACGCACACAGGCCACTAATGCTCATGTTTCCAGAGACTGCAAGTGTGTGTGTCTGTGTGCACACTCGTCGCGAAAGCATTTCCATGAGTATCAACGCTTTCATACCCTTCTCACGAATAACCATACAAACGCTTACGTTTTGTTTGCATGAGCGTGACAAACGCTTTTATGATTAGGTATCCCCTTCACTTCAAAGGGAAAGAGCTGGGATCATCGCGAACAAAATTCAATTTTTGTGCGCTGCTGATTTCGGTGATTTGAGAGACCAAAGAGAGAGATAGAGTGAGAGAGAGAGTGGGACAAATAGCGCATAGCCTTGCTTCATATAAGAATGGGACCAGTTCGTTTGAGCGCTCGCAACGAACTGACTTTGTAGTGTTGTATTTTCCCTGCTCGAGCCGTAAGAGACGGAGCCGAGCAACTACGAAGGTGAGTAGTCCCTCATGCACATTTTTTCGGTGGTGAAAAAGTTTGTTGTACATGTCTCATCTATGTGTTCTTTGGTCAGTGGTCTTATATATAATGTGATCGACGCGTTCATAAATACGGACAGACCGACGGATAGACAGACGGACAAATTCAAATTTTGAATGGGCTCAGAGTAAATGTACGCATTTCAGTGTTATTATCATCTACAAGAAAAATTAATAAACAATTATGGTCCCGTAGTAAGCCTACACTGCAGCCAGTCACACATTTGCAGGCATTTATGCCTGTGTCTTTGAGTGTGCATGTGCGAATAATTATTGAAATATCATTTGCTCGAAGGGTTCAGGGGATCTCGTAGTCGAGCAGTGTCGACTAAAACTTTCTTACTTGTTTAGTTTTGTTCAGGGTGGTTGAGCACTCCCGACTAGAGTTTGATTACTTGTTTTTATAGGTCTATCTTGAAGAGTTCAAGATATCCCGTAGTCGAGCCGTCTCAACTAGAGATTTATTACATGTTTCGAAATATTATGATATCTCATTATTATTATTATATTAATAGAAATTAAAACAGGATTATATGTAACAAAAAATAACGAATTGACAAACCACTATGTATTTATAAGAGTAAATAATTAATTATGTACATAAGCATATATAAATTTTACAAAAGCGACAACTTTTGCATAACAAATCTTACATATCATACACTCGGATAATACTTTATGATAACATTATTTAATAAACAGGTGTTCCCTTGACCTCGGCAATGTCCAAAAATATGTTATTCAATCATATTGAATAACAAACAAGAGAAAATCATACCAAAGATCTGAAAATCAATGTACATAATAAGACAAAGACAGCATAAGCATAAATATAGCTAAGGCACATACCATAAGTATAGCGACGGCTATAGATGTGCCTCCAATAACAGCTGCATGATCGCGTATGAAATTTGTAGCCACATACAAACAGCCTTGATTATACAAATTCGTTATATTGGGAAAGAGAGCGCATTCTTTGCGTTGTCCTCCAAACAGTTCTTGACAGCATGATTCTGGCACAAGTCCATATCGATTCCAATCGTGCCAAGTATCTACGCCACAGCATTGTAAACGTTCTTGTGTTAAGTCCCAAGCCTGGGTAATTTCTCGCCGACTACCATACAAAGCCATTGTGGAACGCATTTCCTAATTGAACACAAGGTTTACACTTTTCCACATCTCATATTATGGTCCTGATATATTTACCTGACGCATAGTTTGCTGCACTCGTTCACGAAAAACGTAGCCCAAAACGCCGCCAATTAGCATGGTAACGAAAACCAAAGCAACGATGATGAAATACTAAGGATTGTAATGGAAAATCAGATTATCATCTGAATTGTATTAAGTAACAAGTAAGAAGACTCTAGTCGAGACTGCTCGACTAGGAGATACCCTGAACCCTCTAATCTGATATTCTAATCACTCTGCACATCTTTTCGGCATACATACATTCACACGCACGTATTGGAACGCGCTCTGCTAACTCCGCAGTAAGCAGCGACTGCGCTTGGGCTGCGCTGCAGTGTGGGCAACATTATAAGAATTTATTTGTTGAATAATTTAATTTCTAGACGTACAATCTTAATGAAACTTTCAGAGCGTAATCATATGGTGAAAATGTATGTACATTTCAAAGCACACGTCTCTAGTACTTGAAATACGCCTTTTACAAAGGTGAGGGTGAGGGGGTGGATATAGGGGTGGGGGTAAATTACAACTAAAATCGAAATTATATAAAATATATAAGTCTACATTTAAAATTTGCAAGCTCTAGCTCTAAAGGTGTAGGAGATATGATTAAATAACTAGCTTTCGATAAGGTTTTTAATCGATAATAAAATATCGGGAGTAGTTATCGATATAAAAAGAAAAACTTGATATGCGCGTGATACACACGGACCTAGGAAAAAAAAATTTCAAGTCTCTAACTCTTATATCTTCTGAGATCGACGCGTTCATACATATGGACGGACGGACGGACGGATGGACGGACATACAGACGGACAGGGCCAAATCGACTCATCTCGTCGCCCTGATCAAGAATATATATACTTTGCGGGGTCTGCCACGCCTCCTTCTGCCTGTTACATACTTTTAACAAAACCATTATACCCTGATTTCCCATTTTCAATGGGTTCAGGGTATAATAAGTAAATAAATAAAATGGAGTACTTTTCATGTAATGTTCATTGCATTACAGGCAGTAGAAACTTAAAACTATAACTGTATTAATTAGTTTTGTGCAATGTCCGTCTGTCCGTATGTAATAGTTTATTTCGGCGCTATTTAAGCTAGAGACTTTGGACCACAAACTCGTGTATATCTCCGATTAATAAAGTGTTAAAATTTTCTCGATCCGCTAGGAGCGTAGCAAATCAAAATGAATTTTCCGATATACCATCATATTAGTTGAAGAGCTAGAAATATAAAATGTAGATCCTCGTCGACCACCCAATATTAAAAGCGACGGTAGATATCTAGGCCCATTAGGGGCGTAGCAAATCTAATGTGATGATTCTATAAAGACTGATAAAAAATTAGATGTCGCACTAGGGGCGTAGCAAATCGGACCCGAAGATGTAGTGATTTTTCAAATTCTGCTATATTTCAGGCACTATTGATGCTAAAGACCTGAAATTTTGTATATATACGCGGGTTGACCACTCAAGACCAGGAGGGTAGAAAATATTGCATTTTCCGCAGTATTAGGAGGTAAACTTAGCTACTAAATTGCTGATGGGATGTAAATGAGTAACCTGCAGTTGGTAACGCCCGACTGAAACATTCGTACATTCTTATGTGAGTTCTCTTGTTTATAATTGATAATTTGAATACTATTAGACCTTCAGATTAATTATTTATGTAAGTAACTACAATACTTACCGATAAGAGCAAGCACTTAACTTCCTTTCCAGCGCCTACACAACCAAGAAATGAAACTAAACATATAATGACAGAAGTGACCAACAGAACATAGACAGCACCGGAGAAAAGATTTGTCCCCAGCAATTCATTGACAAAGCTTCTATCAATTAAAGTCCAGAGAGTAAGACTGAATACAATAGCTCCTCCCACCTACAAAACGAAATTTTGAAACATAAATTTTAAGATGTACTTAATATCCCTTGATAAAAGGATGATACAACTTACAAACATAACAAAGTTCGCTATAAACAGACTGTATTTCACGAATTGGCCACAGCAGTCCATGCGTGAACTAAACCCCATCTTGTCCTCCTGTAATAAAAATTATATAATTGCAAATTAGTATACCCTGAACCCATTGAAAATGGGAAATCAGGGTATAATGGTTTTGTTGAAATGTATGTAACAGGCAGAAGGAGGCGTGGTAGACCCCACAATTTGGACCTGTCCGTATGACTGTCCGTCTGTCCATATGTATGAACGAGTCGATTTCAGAAGATATAAAAGCTAGACTTAAATTTTTTTCAAATGCCGTATATATAGCGAGCATATCGAGTTTATCTCCAAAAATCGATAACTCATCTCATTATTTTGTTATAAAAAACCTTATCGAAAATCAGCTATAAATTTATATCTCCTGCATCTTTAAGGCAAAGTGTCCAAATTTTAAATATATATTTAGATGCATTTTATACAATTCCGATTTTTGTTAAAATTTACCCCCCACCCCTATATTCTCCCCTCACCATTACGTTTGTAAAAGGCGTATCTCAAATACTAGAAACTTATGCATTAGCAAATGCATGCATATTCATGTTATAATCATAATCTGAAAGTTTCGTATGTCCACAAGAAAAGTTATTATACCCTGAAGTCATTGAAAATGGGAAATCAGGGTATTATGGTTTTGTTAAAAGTATGTAACAGGCAGAAGGAGGGGTGGCAGACTCAAAGTATATATATTCTTGATCAGGGCGACGAGCTAAGTCGATTTAGTCCTGTCCGTCTGTCTGTCCGTCCGCCTGTCCGTCCGTCCGTATGTATGAACGCGTTGATCTCAGAAGATATAAGAGCTAGAGACTGAAATTTTTTTTTTCTAGGTCCGTGCATATCACGCGCATATCGAGTTTTTCTCTAAATAGCGATAACTACTCCCGATATTTGATTATCGATTAAAAACCGTATCGAAAGCTAGTTATTTAATTATATCTCCTATACTTTTAGAGCTAGAGCTTCCACATTTTAAATGTACACTTATATGCATTTGATACAATTTCGGTTTTTGTTTTGTTTACCCTCCACCCCTATATTTACCCCCTCACCACCATTTTTGTAAAAGGCGTACTTCAAATACTAGAGACTTGTGCTTTGGCAAATGCATACATATCTATGTTATAATCATAATCTGAAAGTTTTATGAAGAAAGTACATCCACAATAAAAGTCGCTATTGAAACTAGAGTCTTGAAATTTGGAACACATACTCGTGTATATCTCAGATTTATAAAGTGTTAAAATTTTCCCGATCCCGATTTTTCCCGATTAGGGGCGTGGCTAATCGGAAAATGCATTTTCCGATATACCAGATATCATGTTTGTTGAAGAGCTAGAAAGCTGAAATTTGGTATGTAGGTCCGCGTCGACCACCCAATATCACGAGCTATGGCGGATAAATCTCCGCCCATTAAGGGCGTGGAAAATCGGATAAAACTGTATCTCTTAAAGTTTTAAGCCTAGAATGCTGAAATGTTGCACGTAAGCTGATGTTTTGATTCTGTAAAAATTTATATATCTACGCCTATTAGGGTCGTAGCAAATGGGATCTGAAGATATAGTGATTTTTCGAATTCTGCTATATTTTGGGCACTATTGACGGACGAGTTATCGAAAAAAGATGTTAAACTTGTAGTGCGTATGGTACACACGAGTATGCATGCCAAATTTCAGCTCTCTAGCTCTTAATCTTCTGATATCGGTTTGCTAATACGGACGGACGGAGAAACGGACAGTGCTATATCGACTTAGATCGTCATCCTGATCATGAATATATATATACTTTATGGAGTCTGCTACGCTTGTCTTCTGCCTGTTACATACATTTCAACAAACCATTATACCCTGATTTCCCATTTTCAATGGTATAACATATTAATATTAGAAGACTCCAGTCGAGACTGCTCGACTAGGAGATACCCTGAACCCTCCAAGCTGATATTCTAATCATTCTGGACTTCTTTTAGGCACAGATACATACACATGCACTTATAAGCACGCGCTCTGCTAACTCCGCAGTAAGCAGCGGCTGCGATTGGGCTGCGCTGCAATGTGGGCAATATTATGAGAATTTATTTTTTGAATAATTTCTTTTGTAGATTTACAATCTTAATGAAACTTTCTAGTACTTGACAATTGAATTACAAATTGGTGGCGAAGCGGGCGTGGTATTCAAAATATGTAAATCTATCTATATATATATAAGAGAGTTGTGTAAAAGTGCTCCTCCACTTATAACTCGAGATCTGCTGGACCAATTTTCATGGTTTTCGATTTGTTGGATTTGTCTACGCTACGAGTAGGATACAAGATCTTAAAAATACTGAAAAAATTTGACGAATACTTGAAAAACGCGATTTTTCCCTAAAGATTCAAAATTCCATTTATACTCAGTAGGCTTGATAACAGTGACAGTTTTCGGTCCTGCTCTCATATTATACAATAGTATAGAAGTAAATAAAAAAGTGTAGTCTACGGCACAGCCTCAGGCGAACCTGACTATTCATAAAAAAAATCACATTTGATAAAAATAATACGCGTGCGTACAGAAGCTAAATATCTCGAAAGTTCAGGTATTTGTTTGTCTCAAACATAAATTTGTGTAAATTATTTATATTTATATTTCTCGATTGTTCAGTGTTACTATTGATAAAAATGCCGCGTCCTAGAAGATCTAATCTTTCCCGGCAGACCCATAATGCAATTAGGCATCGGAATATCGCGTGTCAATTATCTGACGAAGAACAAGAAATCGCCCGAGAAAGGCGCCGCGTTAGTACCCAGTAAAGAAGGGCCGTAATTCGTGCTCTCAAAGAGAGGCAGCCCGTGAAACGGCAATAAGAAATGGTTCAAGGATTGATTTGAATCGAGCAGCGTTTCGATATGATTGCACTATTGACTACAGCTTGAATCGTTAAGTTTGCATTGGTCCAATGGACGTTGTTTGCCAGCATTGTGGCGCATTGAAGTTTGCTGGTGAAACGCCCGGTTTGTGCTGCCTTAGTGGTAAAGTGACATTGCCATTAGTGGTCCCGCCACCAGAGCCATTGCGTTCCCTGCTTTATGGCGAAGCACTAGAATCACGACATTTTCTAGCGAACACTCAAAACAAAACAAAAATGCCTGTTTCCAAATGACTTCATTTGGGCAGAAATTATTGGAGACGGATATAATCCGACATTTAAGGTAATTTACGTTAAACATTTTATTTTCTATGATTGTAAAAAAATTTTGAATGTAATGATTTGCTATCGCATTGGATCATTGCAACCTAATGAAGATGCACAGCACAAATTCTTGCAAATATACTTCATGGGAAATATGGAAGAACAAGGGATCAAGGGATCAACACAGCTACGAAAAGAGCAATTCTCCAAGATTTACAGCAAATGCTTCATGAACATCATGCCATGGTCAAGCTGTTCAAGACTGCTTTAGAGCGCATGCTAAGAGATGACTATAAAGTAGTAATCAGAGCAGATAAAAGACCAGCTGGAGCACACGATTCAGTACTGGGAAACTACAAAGAATATCTTAAACGCACCATTCATATGACGCTTTACAATACCCGCTGATGTTTTGGCTAGGAGACGATGGATACCACTTTAATATCAAAATGATTAATCCATTGAATGGTAAAATCATTGTTTTCATTTTAACTTTATATACATTTCATTCTGTTTGCTTTTGGTACACAAAAAAAGTTATCACTCTTAATTTAGTAGAGAGTAGCTGTAAGAGTCGTAAACCTATTAGGGGTTCTAAAATACAATTTTTACGATCAATAAATCACAGCGCCAATCTTTGGCTATTTGTGGCCTCAATCTAGAAAATGCGTGTTTTTCTCATGGTCAATTGTACGTGGCATGCTCACGGTTTGGCAAACCATCTGCATTGTTTGTTCTTGCACCTGACCAAAAAACGAAGAATGTCGTTTACCACAAGGTGCTTGAATGAAAATCCGATTAATAAATTAATCAGAGTGTATCCCAACCTGAACAACATAATCGAAAAATCGACTTGGGTTTTTCAGCCTAATTTTAACACTTTTAGACCTGGAGACTTCAAATTTAAGTTGTATATAAAGTTAATGGATACAAAGATTTTGTAATTTACAGATTTTGGATACCACGCCCCATTCTCCCCCAATTTGTAAAAAACGCATTTCAAGTACTAGAGACTTGTGCTTTAGAAATTACACATATTTTAACCATATGATTACGCTTTGAAAGTTTCATTAAGATCGTATGTCTACAAAAGAAATTATTCAACAAATAAATTCTCATAATATTGCCCACATTGCAGCGCAGCCCAAGCGCAGTCGCTGCTAACTGCGCAGTCAGCAGAGCGCGTGCTTATAAGTGCATGTGTATGTATGTGTGCATAAAAGAAGTCTAGACTGATTAGAATATCAGCTTGGAGGGTTCAGGGTATCTCCTAGTCGAGCAGTCTCGACTGGAGCCTTCTTACTTGTTTACCTAGAAATAATTGATGGGGCAATGCAACGTTTGCCGGGCCAGCTAGTACATATATAATTTATACAATTTATATAAATATATTATATATTTATATCCGTATATTTAATACCGGCTTCTGCTGCTAGGATCAGCGCGACTTTTCTCACATTCTTAGAATTTCGATTGATTTCTGGACTTTCTAGCCGTTATTGTAGTTTTGTCTGATGATGCTCTCTTAATAAGCTATTCTATTTTAGCAACTGTCTGGTCAAGCGAAGCAGTGGTGCGAGTGCTAAGGGCGACGCAAATTATGCTAGAGTAGGGGAGGTCCGAAACCTCTTCGATGTTTTTTTTTTTTTTTCATACATATTTCGCTTTTTATAAAATAGATATTTTATTGGGAAGGCGCGAGCTTGAATGAATGGCACTTAATACTCTTCTTTTTCTTAGTCGAATAATTTTATAAGTTTAAATTTGTTTCTTCTTAAATAGCCCTCAAATACATATACGCAAATACGTACATATGAATATATGTATATGTCAATCTGCACGCATAGCATCAAGCATTCCAGCCTTATACACG